TCCCCTTGTTTTCCATCTCTCCAAAATTGTACTCTAATGGTGCATACCTATTTGACTGGCAGTGGAGCCTGAAATCTTAGCCATATTTTATTCACTTTTTGTCTATTCTGGTTAGGTGTTACTGGACACCTAACTGTGTTACAGCTAGATGTTACTTTAAAGGTACGAGTGATGTTTTTTTGAAGTTCTGAAGTGCTCTGTATTTGCTCATAGATTGGATATTGGATGAAAATGCTAGGGATGACACACTCACATTTTCTTGCTAAATTTTATTAGCAAATCCTGAAGAAGTGTATGTTTAAAATATAAAGGGAGTGTGACCAAAAGTAATGTAATGTGGTATGGTACTGTAGGTTTTCCCAAGTCCAATATATTTACACTGAAAGAATGTGAAGCAGCATTAACGCACATAGTACTAGCAGTGTTGAGCTTGAATTTATTTATTAAATTGAGTCATTTGAGCATTTAAGCACCTTTCTAAAAGGCATGTTGCAGCTTGAATGAGACTTAAGCATTCACTTGATTCTTCCGCTGTTCATAACAGCATAATGGTGTTACTGAGGCTGTATTGCAAACTGTCTCACGTTTCAGCCAAACTGTATTAAGAAACTCAGCTCTTGCTAATGTAGAGTTACTCAGAGTGTCTCCAAGGGCTTATTTCCTGATCTGGTTTTGATGGTGAACTTACAGGTGCTGCTGTCATACCACTTGATGTTCTCCACTGAACAAGGGCATATTGCCAGCTGTTTATACCTCCCCCTACCTTATTTGAAAACTGCAGTAATTTTATGTATCAAAGCCATACCTGTGTATCTTCCCTTGAATTTGACCAACACAAATTTCATTGTTGCACATCTACAAGCATCTGATGTCTTTCCCTTTTGAGTACCCCAAGCCATAATGTTTCCAGGGAGAAAATGTGGGACAGAAGGGACTGCCTGGATGAAGTCTAGTGCCTGTAGTCCTACTAAATGACAACTCGTCCAGCTATTTCTTACTTTTTGGCTCGTATCTCTAATTTAAGTTTTGTTGTATCCCCACTTTAAACCGAACAGAGATCAGAGATTGTAGCTGTTCTTTTGGGAAGGAAGCAGTATACGTAAGGCAGGATTTGAGGTAGCATTTCTTAGGACTTTATTTCAGGCAAATAATTTGCTACTCAGCTATCTAGCAAATGCATGAGGAGAAAAAGATTAATGACATGAGAAAAAATAATTGGTGATAGTTCTACTCTCTTTGGAGGGTTAAATCAGTACTTAAAGGCCAGTTGAATTCTATCTGTGTGGAGCTTTGTACAATGAAAGCACTTCGTTCAGCTAAGGCTGGCTTCAACATCCATCAACTTAGACTTAATCAGATAAGCTCCAGTAACAGTGTTTCTAAGCATTTTTTGTATGCTTCAGAATAATTTTGTTTGTATTAAGCTTGCCAAGATGAAGTGTTGGGCTTAGATTTACTGTTTAACCTATGACTATATTAAAACAGGCTTATTATTCTGGCAGTAGGCCTGATTTATGGCACTGCCATAAATCAGTTGTGCTGATTCAGCTGTTTGCATAGCTATTGTCTAAACACATCTTTGAAGTAATGCAATTAAAATCCTCTTAAATTGAATCATAGTTGCACACAACCATTCCATCAGCATTGTTCAGCTTCACAGAGGATTCCCAAAGTATTCCTAACATCTGTTTAATTTCCCTGAGTTGAAAACAAGTGATATTTTTTTATTTCAGGATTTTTTCCTTTGTACCTCTTTTAAGTGACCCTGTCTCTAAGTCTGTATGGAACTTCCAGTAACATGCTAATGTGTTAAAAAAGAAAAGGTTGCACAATTATCAACAGTGAGTGGTAAGGGGCTAAGGTGAATATCACTGCAAATCCTGAGCTGAAAGAAGTGCCTCTTCAGTGAAACCATGGATGGATGCCAATTTACAGTACAGTTCTTGTACACAGTTACTGTTTGAGGCCTTGCCTTCCAGATATAAATGTTTTAATTTAATTCAACATATATTCCAATGTCTTTGGAGTCAGTGTGGCCTTTCCTTCTGCCCCGCTGTAAATTCATCTCAAAGTCTACTGGACTTACAGTAGGTCTTTAGTCTTCATTTTTTAATATACTGTGTGAAATGAGCAGACCTGTACAAAAATAAAACCACATCACAGTGAAGCTAAGCTTCATTTTTTTGCAATTTTGGGACAAGTTAGGTAGGAGTGTGGGAGTAACTTAAAACTGTTAAACTCTCAATGCAAATAAATGAAGTACTTCTTTCTTTTTCTTTCACATACTTCACACTGCAGGAGTTAAATCTCCTTCAGTGTTAATCTGGAAATTGGAAGGGACGATTGAGTTGTTTACTTGTAAAAAATAATCACAAAAGGATATTTATTCATATTTCTATACAGGTTTTTTTTTAGTAGAGAAGTTACTGTATGTTGGATATCTCACAATGCATCCTTATTTATTAATAACTGTTTTCTGTTTTCTGCAATCACGTTATTTATTTTGTATCTTTTGATTTTAGGATACTGTATTTTGGCACAAACCATTGAATTTTAAAGTTGAGTCCACTGTACTAAGTGGATATTTCCAAGTATGCACACGTACTGCTTACCAAAAGTCTTTCTTTAAACAGATTGATACTTTAAGGCTGAAAGCTTTCTACAAACAGTCCTTGAAATCTGAGTATGGTTGCCTGTGGTGTTAGGTGTGTAACAAATTTATATAGCTGAAGCTTGTTCTGTCTTGAAATTCTGAAAGTATATAATGCTTCACCAATTATATGTTCCTGAATTGTTCCCAAGTGCAGATGATGAAATGCGTTTTATAAATAACCTTTTAGAATGTTTTTAATAAAAGCAATTTCTGTCCCTTGGACATGTCTTGTTTCAGATTCTTGGGGAAATACTGTAACAGCACTATTTTCCTATATCATCTTTGAATTTCTTTGGAGTTTAGAGGATGAGGTTGTAATCCCTCAACTGGTCTAGGGGTTGCTCTACTCTGGAGTGACAGGTCTTCTCTGGGAAGTGGCACAAAGGAGTTAAAAACTGGGGTGAGAGGAAAAAACCCTTTTTCCTCAAGCTGCAGTTTGGGATGGAAGAATGGAATGGAGGAAAAAAATGCAGGTTGGTACAAGGAAAAGCAAGGAATGACTGGGAGGTGGGAGAGAACACCAATAGGGAGGAAAACTGGCCAGAGAGGGTTACCATGGACTTCCTCCTCTTGCTGTAGTAGGAGCAGTTCCCACCTGTCCTATGGTTCTGCTGCTTGTGCCCTGCCTGCTGGATCACAGCATGTGGGGTAGGAACAGACCCTCGTGCTGGTCAAGTGCTGCAGGGTGGACCTGGGGAATGGCTCCCAGCATGTGCGGAGTGAAGTCTAGGGACAGGCTTATGCAGAACATCCCTTCTGATGGATCTGAGGAGTTCCTGGTTCTCTCTTTTGGGCTGGAGCTGCAGCGGAGCTTAAGTTGCAGTCAGGCCAGGCAGGGCCAGGGCCGGGCCACTGCACCTGGGGCCATGCTGGTCAGGGCCAATGCAAGAAAGAGCGAGTGTACCCTGCACCCCCCCTAAATACATGAATTCACAGAGGTGCTGATTGCCTTGGCCCAGGTCAGAGGTGCGTCTGACATTGGGTGGGGGGGAAGCTTTTCAGGTAACTTCTTACAGGGCTATGTCCATAGCCGTCCCCCACTACCAAAAACAGAACCAAAAACCCCTCACAAAATACCCAATACAGATGGTGTTTCAGAAATAAATCTTTTAGCCTGCAGTTTAAACTCAATCCAGTATTTTCGTGGACTACTTCTGGCCAGAAACATAGCCAGAGACAATGCTACTGATCATTTGCAAACCTCTTGCCTTCCCAGCGGAAAAGCCATGATGATAACCCTTAAGCCTAGTCCAGCCTTCCCCCAACACCAGTAAAAGGTAGAAATGTGTATGTACCTGTGAGGGCAAGGGAAAGTTTCCCCTCAACTTCTTGTAGGAAGTGTAGAGCAAGGGCTGGAAGCAGGGCTGAGGGACATGGCATCTGAGAAGATGCTGCCTGTGGGATTTGGACTTGGAGGTGCTGGTGGATGAAAAGCTGGACATGAGCCACCAATGTACATCTGCAACCCAGAAGGCCTACCGCATCCTGGGCTGCATCAAAAGAAGTGTGGCCAGCAGGGTGAGAGAGGTGATTCTGCCCTTCTACTCTGTTCTGGTAAGACCTCACCTGGAGTACTGGACTTGTTGGAGCTGATCAAAGGGCTGGAGCACCTCTCCTACGAAGACAGGCTGAGAGAGTTGAGGTTGTTCAACCTGGAGAAGAGACGGCTCTGGGTGTACCTAATAGTGGGCTTCCAATACCTGAAAGGTGCCTATAAGAAATCTGAGGAAGAGCTGTTCTCTAGGGGATGTAGTGATAGGATGAGGGGTAATGGTTTTAAACCAGAAAAGGGTAGATTTAGGTTGGATATTAGGAAAAAGTTCTTCATTGTGAGGGTGATAGATCACTGGAACAGGTTGCCCAGTGAGATGGTGGAGGCCCCATCTCTGGAGATATTCAAGGTCGGGCTTGATGGGCTCTGAGCAACCTGATCTAGTAACACTGTCCCTGCTTAGTGCAGGGGGGCTGGACTGGATGATCTTTAAAGGTCCCTTCCAACCCAATACATGCTATGATTCTGTGATTTCTGAATGCTGTGGGGCACTGCATGTTGCACCATTAAAGGCAGAATAAGACAGACAAATAATTGCCTTGATAGCAATGCAAAATTTAGGGCTGTAGTATTATTTTTTCCAGTGGAGCTCACAGAAACTGTCACAGTAACAGGCAATACAGTGCCAAGAGAACTGTAGCATCAGCAGAGCAGAAAAGAGGTCAGAACACATGCAGTACCTCTAGATGAATTCCCAAAATCTCAAGAGAATTTGCTAAATTGGAGTGAGCAGCTTACCCTGAATAATAAAAGTGGAAGAGGGCCATAATCCTACAAAATTCCTTATTTAATAGAATTAACTCATGTAATATGTAAAAAAAAAAAATCTGTTTCAGAAATTGAGTCATACAGTAATTTTTACTAATACAAAAGTATTGTTCCAGTATAATGAAAATTTAGGTGTCCAATCTAACTACTAGTTTTATCTATCAAACATACAGCTTTCTTACTGCAGTTGTGCTACCCTTTCAATGAAAAACAGCTGTGGCTTGGCATTGTTTGTTTGTTTTGGGTTTAATTTAGATGTACCAATAGTACTCTTACACATCTCATTCCTTGTTTATGGCAACTTAACCTCTCCTTACTATGTTTATTTAAATATCTCACCTTCAGTCTTTTTACTTTGGCTGCAATGAGTGCATTTATAGGTATAATGAAAAGAAGCACTGCAATACCTGCTAGGACTGAGGGGCCAAGTTCTTTCCAGAGAAAGACGACAGCCGTGATAATCTAAAAAGGTGCTGACCACAACAGGTTGATGTTTACAGATAGCTCCAGGAGTTGCTTGAGCAAATACCATTCTCAGTTTTTCCTTAAAATTAATCATATTAAATAAAGCAAGAAACAGTTATAATACCTGAAAATTTGTTTCCTCCCTTTTGGATTTCTGAAGTGTATATGTCTGGCTCATTATTTTTAAAGAAGGAAAAAGAAAAATGTTAAAAATGAGTGATGGTCACAAGACATAACACATGAAATTGTTTGAAATAACATCCAAAATATTAAGTGATGGCAAGCTGCATGGCTTGATATAGTTGAGCTTTCAGTTCCTATTTTTGGGTGGAAAATCTCCCAAGAAGTGGAGGGACTTTATTGGTGTTCATAAGCAGGTGACGTACAGTAATAATCTGCGACCTGCCATAGAAGAGGGAGGAAAACAAGCATGGAAGTGGCTACTTGGAAAATACCTTAAATGTAGTACTGTATATTTGTTCCTGGAGAACTAGCAAATTGCTGTATTACTATGCGGAGTATAAAGGACACCTTATTTTGATTTTTATCTGTTGCCAAACTTTATGCACACAGATAATAAATAAGAAAGAATAGCCTAATTTAGCCTTTTATATCCCATTGTCTGAAATCATTGTCTATTGTGACATGAAGATTGGGCTTAATTATAGAAATATTAATGTTTTAAATAATGCTATTAGATAACATAAAATGACTGTTACTATGCATAAACAGTACTCCACAAAATATTTGAATGTGACCTCCAAAGTCATCAAAGTTGTAACCTTTGATTTTTGTACGAGAAGCTAACAGCAAGCCCAGGCTCAGGCTCAGGTTCAAGCCAGAATGATGGTGTTGAATGTTAAGTGTGTGTTCTATAATTCTGTGAGCATCAGTTAAAATCAAAACGCAGTTTGTTATATTCTTACTGGCTAAACCAGGAATATTTTAATTTACTGAAGAAAAAAGCCAATATTTTCTTCAGGGCTGTGTTTCTGTTAAAAAGAAAAAGAAAGAAAAAAGGGAAAATATTACCAATGTTACTTGAAAGCCTGAATTAAAAAATTGTTTGTTTGTTTGTTTTTATTTCACTAATATGTAGTTCTTAGAAGCTGTTTAATTCTGGGCTATAATAAGGTCTATACTTCACTTACACTTCTTTGTCTGTTACTTTCTTCCACCAACACACTCTAACTCAAGAGACAAGGGATGAAAGGGATCTGCAGTCTCGTGATTTACCAGCATGACTTAACTCACTGAAAGAGGATGTTAACCACCACCTTAGCTTGATTTTACACTGTTTACACATACCCTAGGGTATGATTGCACTAACAGTAGAGCATGGGACTTGGACTCAATGACACTTATGGGTCCCTTCCAACTTGAGATATTCTATGATTCTATGTCCAATAAAAGCAAATCTTCCTTAAATCTTTTGACAGTTAAACTCTTGCAGGGTTTAGGTTTTTTCCCCTCATTTGAAAACCTAGCTACTGGAAGTTATTTAGTACTCCTGGTACCTAACGAACAGCAAACTCCTTTCGGACCTTAGGAGATGAACTGCTACTAAGTGTACTGTACACATAAAGGAGGAGAAGGATATGAGATTTGTGCACCGCTGCCAATCTCACAAGTCATTGGAGATAAGTGTAATAGAGGAATATGCATATGAACTCTCCCATACTTCTTGAGGAATGTGTATCCACACTCAGGAACAACTTCAGCCCATATAGGGAGCAAATTCTCTCCCTCAGTAATTGCCATCTTGAAATAATTTCTAAGAAAAGATGCAGTTACAGTTCTTTTCGGTAGGTGGTGTAAAAAACACACCTACCAAAAAAAGTATGCTACGGGTGCTCTGAGATCCTGTGCATTTTCCACAATTTTTCTTGTACTTTCAGTGAAAAGCCAAATGATTAATGATAACAAACATATACGTGTGCCGTCCTTCTGTAAGGAACACATCTTGAGCTCCTACTTCCCCTTCACTATAAACTGTTAACGTTTGCCATGATCCCTTACAATTTCTGAATTTTACATCCAAACAGCATCGTTTGTTTGAACTACTCTCTTTTACTACTGAAAAGCAGGGTAGAAGTCTTGGGCACTAACACTCCCTGCTCAAATCCTGCTCCTATTCTCACTCCTGGCACAGCTCCTACTTCTTTCAGAAAAAGAACAATAGGAAATATTGGCCTAAAGATTACTCCTTCCTTAGCCATCCAAAGCTCGCATCCCAGACTGTACCACTTGTCATCAGCTGCAGTTTTTTGGCACTGGTCTAGCACCAAACCCACGCAACGTAAGATCAGGTTTAAAGCTGTCACCCATGGCTCCTCCTGGGGCAGCAGGCAGGCTCTGGCAGAGGGGAAACCTGTCCTGGTAGCTCTGCCACCTCGGGCAGGCCCTACGGAGCAGTGCCCCCCCCCCCCGCCCAGGCCTAAGAACTCGGG